CCGTAAATATAATGAATTAAATGGATTTGCCATAATGATTTTTGACACGGATCAGAAACATTAAATTTTCGTTTGTTAATTTACCGTTTCCCCCCCTCCCACTCTCTCTCTCTCTCTCTCGATTTTTTTTCCATTTACGTCGTTGAGGATTAGGATTTAGGAGAAAGAGGAAGAGAAGGAGGGAATGATAAATGAAAAATTAAATGAACGTGGTGGTTCTTTAAAAAAAAAAAACCGTGAGAAAAAGGAAATGCTGCCGTTTCCGTTTTGACTGACTCTACAGGTAGATAGAGCGTAAAATTTTAAATTTTCAAATTCAGGTTCACTTTTTCGTCTCGTTTTTTTTTTACGCGGCGGTAAAACACCGGAATGCCGGAAGCCGTGAAAGTTGCCGGAAAAAAAAAAAAAATTAGAATCGTTTCAAAGGGTAATTCGAAAAAACAATGATAATCAAATTTGTGAAAGTTGATTTTGTTTAAAAAAAAAAATAATAATAATAATAATAATAATAATAAATTGTTGGTATTGTCTTTGTTTTTTTTTTTTGTACAATTTCACGATTCATTAAGTTTTCGATAATGTCTTATTTGGGGAGAAACAAAAAAAAAAAAATTACGAAAAGGTTAATTAACGTTCAGAAACGAAAAATTTAGAATAAAAATTCCCCCCTGTTTGTTTGTTTGTTTGTTTTTTTTCTGTCGATTCTCTTCGTCGCGTTGTTTACATTTACGAGAAAAAAAGGAACATACGCGTTACGTCATAACTTTAGCGTCAGGTGTGACGCACACAATATTACACGTTTTCGTTTTTCCCGTTCCAAAATTCATTTTTTTTTTTTTTTAAATAAATTAATGTAATTAATCAATATTTGAACTTTTGGCTTCGGTTAAAAGGAAATTTGGCATTTGATGATGATGATATTAATAATAATAATAATAAAAATAATTTAAATTATTTTTATTAATAATAAATTAAAAGGGAATGGAAGAAAAAATGGACAATTCGGTGAATTAATTTAAAACGACACCTGCACATCAATTTATTTATTTCTCGAATTATAATCGAAAAAATGTCGATGATATAAATAATAATAATAATGGAAAAGTGGGGTCAAAGGTTATTTTGTTTTTTTTTAAAAGAAACGAACCATAAAAAAAATACATTAAGAAAACAAACAAACAAACGAACGAACAGACGAAATAACGACGGTGACGATTGTGTTCGATCATTACTTTCGATTTTTTTTTTTATCTAAAGTCGATGGGGGAGGGGAGGGGAGAGATGAAGGAATGAGAGAGTGAATACGTAAGCAGAAGACAGATAGAAAGAAAAAAGAAGAATATAATTATTATTATTATTTTTTACATTTTTCGTTTTTAAACGTGTAACGAAAGTGGGAGAAAAAAAAAAAGAAATTTCATTTTTCAGTGTTGCCAACCGTTTACCGTATACAAGCTATTCGTCTAGATTTTAAATTTTTTAAATTCTCGCGAGGTTAAAGGTCAGAGAACACGGGGACATGACGGAATCTATAAATTAGCCGAATTAAAGTTTTATTATAAATATAATTCATCATCTTGTCCGTTTTGTCCTTTTTTTAAATACTCCTCCTCCTCCTTTTCCTCCCTCTACTTTTCCATTTTTCTCTTCTTTTCCCCTTTTCACGTTCTCATTAATTATAGGAGAAAGAGACAGAGAGAGAGAGAGAGAGAGAGAGAGAGAAATCGAGCTAATAAGTTAATTAAATAAGTCACATAAGTTTTAAATGCCAAAAAAAAAAAAAAATTTTTTTAAATAATAAAACGTGGAGAATCTTCGAGTTCAAAATTAATGACAACAAAATAAAATTATTTTCGTTTTCGAAAAAAAGAATCGTTTTATTTTTATCATTTTATCTATTGCGATTTAAGGTCACATGACCATGATATTAATAATAATTTATTTCATTTCCGGTTGTTGCTGCTGCTGTAGTCGGAGTAAGGCGGAAGGAAGAAGGAAAATTTTTTTTTTTTTTTTTTTTTATTGCTAAATTTTATTTTATTTTTTTCGAACGTTTATTGAACTTATAAACTTTCTATTAAGTTTTTGTAGATTAGCAAAAAGCGTTCCAGATTATGAAAGTTGAGGGTGGTGTGTTCGTGAAAGGTTAAAACGGGTTCGAGAGGTCAAAGTGCTCTCTAAATTTCAAATAAATGGGTTTCGGAGTGGAAGGGAAAGGGGGATGGAAAACGATTATTATTACAAAATTATTGACATTTTACACGAATTGTTTAATTTTGTCATTCATTCACATTTCATTAAAATACCATTAGGCCGATACAACAATAGTTTTTCGTTAATCATTGCCGCCATCATCATCATCATCATCATCGAACGAGAGTAATTAACTTTTTCGGGTATATTTAGTAATGGATGTCAACAACGACGGGGGTCGTTGCCCACATAGTATTAGTTTGACATAAAAAGTCAATCGCGCCGGCATCGCGATTCAATTATTTTTACCTTTTCTCACGTTGTGGTTTCATCACACGCACACACATACACACACACCATTCGATTAAATTCTATTATTATCATTATCATTTTTTCGTGTACGATTCGTGCGAGGTTATTAATCGTATTATTATCGGAAATATATCGAGAAGGTAATGACTTTGTCTAATTAACATAACACGAGCCTCTTTTAATGATTCGCGCGTGTTTTATAGACGCATAAGCACGAGGGCGACACACGTAAGTCCTTTCGGGTAAGGGTGCGTAGGGGTAAGGGCGGGTAGGTAGGGCTTTAGAGAGGTTTCGAAATGAGAAAATTTGTGATTTTGATTTCGCGACGAATAGTTTTGCCAAGTTTTGAGCTTTTAACCTTGTCCCCTATTTTGAGGGTGTCAAGATCGGAGGAGGTAGGACCGCTATGGAGTTTCATAAGACGTGTTTAACGTTTCTTTCTTTCATTTCCCACTCTTAAGAACGCGCATAAAGAACGACCCACTCGTCGTCGGTTTTCAATTTTCCCCATTGATTTTTTTTTTTTTTCAATGTTAAATATTCGTTCGGACAAAGAAAAAGAAAAAAAAAATGCTCGGGCGGAATTCATTAAAATTCTATTTTATATATATTTTGAATTAAAACGTCATTTTTAATTTTTTTTTAAGGATTTAGGAGGCTAATTTAAATTTTTCCACCTCGAGGAAGTTTTTAAGTTAAAAATTAAAAAAAAAAAAAAAAAAATTTAAACGTTTGAAAGACGAATGGATCACGTGACGCGGTGTTTTTCCTTTTTTTTTTTTTTTCTTTAATATTGTTATTATTACTATTTAATTGTTTTAAATTATCGTCTCGATTTTTTTTGTTTGTTTTCAGTTGTAAAACATGTAAGGATACCACCACCACCCCCATCACAACTACTACTACCAACACAAGAGATTCGTTTGAAAAATGTTCGTTCGCGGCAACAACTTCGACGACGTCTAAAATTTGGCTGAGAAAACCCGTAGGAAAATCAAATTCGCCGCATGATTTAAAGTCAGACGAAAGGATGATGATGGAATCCGTCGAAGGAGGGACAAGGAACGATGCGAATAAAAAATTTTATTCTGAAGGTACGTCAAAATTTCCCCCCAAAAAATTACTATTATCATTTTAAATTCGCGAATCGTAACATCATTCACCTTTGATCTGTTTTTCTTTTTTAGCGTTATTTCACTTTTTCCTATTTTGTCAAAAAACTTGTTGTTTGCCCCCCCCCTCCCCTTCCCTCCTTCCCCTCGTTTCGCAACACCTAAACGGAAAAAATTTTCCTGAATTCATTTCGCAAGCGGTTTTTTTTTTTCTCCCCGTTAACGATTACCGTGTATTAATCAGAGCTTGAAAATGTTTCTCTCTCTTTCTCTCTCTCTCTCTCTCTCTCTTTCTCTTTCTTTCCCTTTCAATTTTTTAATTTATTTTATTTTCTTTTTTTTTTTTTTTAAATTATTTATTATCGTTTTAAATATTTTATGTTAATGAGTTGACGAACGAAACCATTTCTCTCTCCCATGCGATGTCGTTAAAAAAAAATTAAAAAAATTAAAATTAAAATTAAATTCTTTCGTCGTGGCAAAAGATTCATTTTTGTTGTTGTTGTAATATTTTTCTTCTTCCCCGATCTCCAATTTTTATTTATTTTTTTTCTTGTAATTTACTAATTACCAAAATGAAAAATTAATTAATAAATCTTTGAAATCAATCAATCATCGTTATTTTCCATCTTTCCATAAATAATTTTCCACCACCCCCCCCGTCTTCTCCTTTGTTTAAAAATAGACTATTGTTATTATTATTATTATTGTTTTAAATAAATGTTTTGTTGTTGTTGTTGTTGTCGTCGGGGATAAAAACAAATTGTGAAGTCTTTCTTTTTAAAAGAAATATTTCCCTCTCTCTCTCTCTCTCTCTCTCTCTCTCTCTTGCGTTGTTTTTGTCATTTACCAGAGACCATAAGACGATCGTAAGAATCTATGAAATCTAAACTGTTGAACATTGTTCTCCAAGTATAAAGAAAGAATTTTTCTTTCTCTCATTCGACTTTGATTTTGAAATTAAGATAATATTATTATTATTATTATTATTATTTTTATTGTTGATTTTTCTGACTGTTGTTAATATTATTTATTTTCTCTTTCTCGAATGATAGATATAATTAGAATTTTATTTTTTTTAAAAGAATTTTTTAAGAGGTTATTAAACGTTTGTGTTCCTCGTGTATCTTTGTCTTTGTCGGATCGAGATGATGAAGTTTCTGTAATGTTCGATTGCCAAAACTTTAAATTTCTTCTTCTTCGTTTCGTTTCTGTTTCCCAGATGATAAGAAATATGTTATTGTTTTTGAGAGGTCACAGAAACATTTTTTTTTTCTCCCCTGCATTCGATTTCCTTAGCGGTTAAAATAAAAATTTGTGTAAATTTTAGTTTCTAAATTTTCTTTTTTTTTTTTTTTTTTTTTTTTTACAGAACACGATCACATGATGAAAAGTAGAGCGAATGGTAACATCAGTGCAACGGAAACGAACGGTAACACGGTCTTGGAGAAACCGGCTCAGGTTTTTCAAACTCCGGAATACGTCAAAAGAACGGCAAAATTTTTCGAATCCGTGAAAGAAATAGACGGAACGGAACAACACACGACAACCTACGAATCCTATTACATAACGGAAAAAATTAATAATGATAAGGAAACGGTTAACGACGCGTACGACGCACTCGATGGAGAAGCAAATAAAAAACCGAGTTATTTAGGGGTTTCATGTTCCAACAGCGGTTACCGTAACGTAATAAATTACGACAGCAAGTTGAGAGAGGGTTTCTGGTCTGCGAAAAATCAGAGAGAAAGTTTGGTGTTGAGCAATAGCCGGCAGAGAGAAAGCAGTCCATACAGGTTGGATTTAGACTTTAAATATCATCCGGGACAGGCGAACGGAGGGACCGAAACGACCGTGAAAAAAATCGTTCAGGTAGAAAGTTCGGAAAGTTCGACGGCCGCGGGAAACGGAATCGAGAATCAAACGGAAAAATTCGTCAACATATCCACGTCGACGAAAACGATATCGACATTCCGAAACGCGACCGGGAGAGATTCGTCGATTCGCGTCAACGGTTTCGATAGTAGAAACATCGAGGAATCGAAATCGAACGACGAGTCGAACGTCAATTCGAAAGTTGTCGGATCGAGACGGGGTTATTCGAATTTGGGTTTCAGTCCGAAAATATTAAAAAGTCCAGAGAAAAATTGTAACAGTTTTTTGAAAAGTATTAGTTCGTTCGAAAACAATTGCAAACAAAATGTTAATAATAATAATAAAACGAACGGGAAAAGTTCTAATTTGCCCAGGGGAGAACAACTCATATGCGATTCGAGTAGTTCGATACAGCAGAGAATCGAAAGGTTGTACGGACCGGGAGCTTTGGCACAAGGATTTTACTCGCAAAAATCATCATCATCATCATCATGTACGAAGTCGAAAGTCTCGTCGGACAAAATGTCGAACGACGAAACGTTTTCATCATCATCATCATCATCATCAACGGAAAAGAAGTAAGTAGTTGAAAAACAAACGGGATACCTTCTAAATTTGAAAGTAAACTTTAACAACAACAACAAGTACGACCAATTACGTCATTCGTTGTTTTTTAAATTACGATGTCGTCATAGCTTTTTTTTTTTATTGTTGTCTTTTCTTTCTCAATTTGAATTTTCCATTTAAATTCTTCTCACGAACCACACAATGGTGACATTTTTTTTTTTTGCAAAAAGTATTAAAATTATTTGTGTTCAACGTTAGGCGTTTGAATTCGAGTTTCTCCTCCCAAATTTTTTTTTTTTTTTTTTTTTTAAGCTTTCAAAGATGTCGAGTGAAAATTTCATCGCCTTCGGATGAAAAACCTTGTTTTGAATTCGGAGCAAGGATTGTAAACGTTTTCCATTTTGTTTCTTTCAATAAATAATCTCGGGAGAAATTTTTTTTTTGAACAAACGCGGTTGTCGAGTTTGAAACGACATCGGGTAGGGGGAGGGAGAGAGGGAAGGCGGGGAATTTGAAAAGAAAAGATGACGTAAAAATTTTTTTTTTTTTTTTTGCTACCGTTAAATTATTATTATTATTATTATTTTTTCACCAACTCTTTTGGTTTCAGGCGTGGAGAAAATAATTGTCAAACGAATAATAATAATAATAATAGTAACCTTGAATTACCATTAAGCGATTTGCCTTGCTCAACGTCAAACGGAAATAACTTACCAAAAGCAACTCTTCAGAAACCGGAAGTAGTTACTGCGACTGAACCGTGTTTGACGAACGGCTCGACCTTGACTAATTCAAACGATTTCGGCGTCGAGGGAAAATCAGAACCCGAAATCGAAAATGATTCGATAACTGAGAAAAACGGTCATTATTTTCTCAAGGTAAGGTATATATAATCAACCTTTTGTGAACGCGAACGGATTTTTGGCATCGAAAAAAATTTTGATTTTTTGATTTTTAGCTGTTGAAAAAGGAGACTGATCGATTAGAAAGTTTAGCGAAATTCGCAGAAACCGAATTAGAAAACGGTGAAAATCTTCCGGAGGAAATTACGGGAAAATTATGCGCGGCCGCTGGAAAAGCGAGATTGCTCATGTGCCAAAAATTGAATCAGTTCGAAGGATTATGCCAAAAAAATTTGGTTCGTTGACAGTATATATTTATGACGTTGTGCGTAATCATAATGATGATGATAATAATTATTATTATTATTATTATTTAAACCGAAAAAAATTACAGAATGAAAAACCATCGGAACCGTTTAGAACGACGAGCGACGATTTGGCAGGTTTTTGGGACATGGTAATGCTTCAAGTCAAACAAGTTTACGGAGTTTTCGACGAGCTCGAAGAATTGAAAAAAAATAACTGGAAGGTATTATTATTATTATTTGTCACCGGAAATAGTTTACGCGACGCATTCGTCACGGATGAAAAAATTAAAGAATTTTTTTTCCCATTTTTCAGGCATCATCCGTCGCGGCGACGAAAAAGAAAAACAGCATGAGTCCGATTTCAAAAGGTCATCAATCTCCGGGTGGGGTTAATAAAAGCACTCCGAGAAAATCTACAAATTCGAACGGGACGGGAGTGAATTCGGGTGAAAAATCGAGTCAAAAATCCGAGGCGGCAAAAAAAGCGAGAGAAGAAACGAGGAAAAAAATGCTGGAAGAAAGAAGGAGAAAAATGAAAGAATTGAAAGAGAACAAAGTCGTAAATGGCGAAGCGGAAGTTGAAATTTTTGCCAAATGATATTCAGTCACCGCGTTCAATTATTATCATTATCATTATCATTATTATTATTATTATTGTTTTTTAAATTTAATTTAATTTAATTTAATTCACGTCATCATTATCGTTATTATTATCTCTTATCAACCGTGACCGTGATTCGAATTGGAAAAAAAAGGAGAAAAAAAAAGGAACGTGCATTGGAGATTATTCTCTTCCTCTCTCTCTCTCTCTCTCTCTCTTCCTCCCCCTCTCCCTTCCCTCCTACCTTACCTCCGTGTATCCATTTTCATCTTCTCCTTTTTTTTCTAGTATTTATCTCAAAATGATGAAAGACGTATACATATATATATTTAAAAAAAAAAAAAAAAGAAAGAAATTGTAAATAGTTTATTTTTTATTATTATTATTATTAACATTTGTCCCAAGCAGCAAGCTTTTTGTGTCACATAATGATAATAATTAATTAAAAGCCTTAGTTTTGCATGCATGCAAAAAAAAAAAAAAGAAAAAAGGAAAAAAAAAAGGAAAATTTTTAAATTGGTATACAAATAAAGTGCGCTTAGCTTTTAGTTTTATTATTATTATTATTATTATTATTGCTATTATCAAAATGAAAAAAAAAGACCAATTTAACGATTAAAACTAATTAATTAACATTTTTTAAAATTATTATCAATTATCATTATTATTATTATTAATTAATAAGTAAGCTTTTTAATTATTGAAAAGGAAAAAAAAATAAAATATTATTAATTGTAACACCGTTGATGATGATGATGATGATGATGATGAAATTATTAATTATTGAGTCGTTCATTATTAGTCACTATTATTATTATTATTATTATTATTATTATTATTATTATTTTGTATTTTTTATTGGTTGTTCTCATTTACTTTTGTCATTATTAATAATACTCTTAATAAGCGAATGACTTACTGACTGATTGATTGATTGATTGATTAACTGACTCGACTGACAGACTGAAATCTGAACATTATTATTATTCCGGCCTTTTTTATTTATTTTTCAGGGATTTTTTTACATTTATTATTATTATTATTAATTATTTTCGTCGTCGTTAACATTTTAGGTAAAAGAAAAAAATTTGAAAAATTTGTTTTTAATTGAAAAATATTTTTATTAATTTATTTTTTACATTCGTTAATATTATTATTATTGTTGTTATTGTTTTCCAATTGAAATTAATTTTGTTTTTTTTTTTTGTGAGTTTCAACAATTTTTTCTTATTTTTTTTTTCTTCCCCCCTCCCCCCCCTACGCACTCGCCCGTACAAACATTTTTTTTTTTATTCCCATTTTCGGGAATACGAAGTATTTACACGTAAGAAGCAAATAAAAAATTTTTACATCAGTATTTGTGTCGATTATTTTAAAAAAAAATTATCATTATTATTCTTATAACTAATTTTTCAAAATGGCGGCACGAAATAAGCGGTAATCATTGAATCTCATTTTTTTCTCCATTTTTTTTTGTTTATTCAAATGTAAATATAAACATAAATATTTGTTTTTTATTATTATTATTAAAAAGTATTTTATTATATTATTAATTTTTGTTTAATATTTAAAAAAAAAGAAAAAAAAATTGTTGAAACCGTTTTATTTTGTTATTATTATTATTATTTTTTATTATTATTATTGCTATTAATAATTATAATTAATAAATATAATAATAATTATAATTTAATTTATATAACGGAAATCTGTAATTAATAGTTAATAATAATTATATAAAAATCTTCACGACCAACGTAGTACTTCGTAGGATTTACGTAGTATTTAAAACAAAATGGCGGTCATTTTTTTCATAGTTGCCAACTTGATTTTCATTTTAAATGGACGCTGAGACCAGACGGAAGTAAAATGGACGACGAAAGTGATTTTCTTTTTTTTTTTTTTTTTTTTAAATTAATTTTAAAAATTTATTATTATTATTTTGTTATGAATCTCAATCGAGTAAGTGAATCTTTTTTATTTTTTATTTTTATTTTTTTTAATTAAAACAAAAAAAAATTTTTTTTTTTTTTTAAATTTTTCTACTGTTGTTTTTCATTATTATTATTATTAATTATTATTATTATTATTATTAATTATTATTATTATTATTATCATCATCATCATCGGAATCACTATTGCGACTGTTTAATAAATATGTATTCGGGTTTTTTTAATTTTTGAAAAAAGTGAAATAGAAAAAAGGTCAACTTAAATCGTGAGGGCAATTTCGAAAGGTGAAAGGTTATTTTTGAATTTTTTTTTTTAAATTTAAATTTAAAAAACCAAAACAAAAGGAAAAAAAAATTCGTCTTGTTGCCTTTTTATGAACACACACACACACATAAAATTAATTAAAATTAAAATAATTTTGCTCAAAATAAAAATGCATTTATTTAATAAAAAATAATTGAATGTTTGTTTGTTTGCTTGGCTGTTGTAAAAATTTGACGACATTTTTAATCGTTTTTAATGACGTCACTGTCATGGCGACGATGACGATTATTTTGTTGTTGCGGTGAGTTTTATTTTTACTTTGAAAGCTTTTGTGCACATGTGTGTATGACGTATGTAATACAATTGAAATTTTCATTTTTTTTTTTTTTAAATTTTCTATTATTATTATTATTATTCGATTTTGTAATTGAATGATAGTAATAATAATGATAATAATACTTTTTTTTAATTTCTGTAATTCTTCGTACGTTTTTAATTATTGTAAAAAAAAAAAAAAAAAAAATGTTTTTTGTATTAGAAAAATTTGTTTTTTTTTTTAATTTTATCCGGATACGTTTTGATTTATATTAAAATTTGACCTTTGACCTCAATCATTAAACCTTTCTTTCGTTTAATTTTTAATAAAATTAATTTGATAAAAACGTTAATCAAATCATTTCGTTATAACGCAACGAAAAAAAAAAAAAAAATCAAAATGTGCGAGTTCGTTATTAAACGATAAGAGAGAGAGAGAGAGAGAGAGAGAGGTGTCACGTGATTGAATAAAATACATGACAGGAAGTTGAAAATGGTAACGCGAAAAAAAAATTATTATTATTATTATTCGTATACCCTTTGTTCGAACATGAAAAACAATTTACAAAAAAATTGTTTGCCTCTCGGTTTATGTTACGTTTAATGGATGCCATATGTAGTGGGCGGACGTGGTACACGCACTCACCCCCCTCCCCACCTCCCAAAACTTCAATGCTACCACCCTTTATGTCCCAAACCTATGACGTATATGCGGGACATGTCGCATATGCCGAATAAAAGTAAAAACCAAAATGAAATAATAATAATAATATTAAGGGAAGAAGAGAAAAAGGGGAACGAAAAAAAAAAAAAAATTTTTTTTAAATTCGAACGGCGGGGAAAAATGACGCAAGTTTTTCTTTTTTTTTGCGACAAAGACGACGATATTTAAAAAGGGGAGGGGAGGGAAGGGTCAAACGTGTTTTTTTTTATTTTTTTATTCAAGTTCGACGGTTCGAAAAAAAATTAAAATTAAAAAAAAAAATTTTTTTATTTTTTTTTTTCAATTTAACAATTGAAAAACGTGTCAATAGATTTTTATTATTAATATTATTATTATTATTATTATTATTATTATTAAAAACCGATCGGTAAACTTTTTCGATTTATTTATTTATTATTATTGGTTTTTTTTGTTGTTGTTCGTACGACCAAACGACATTCGAAAGAGTTTAAAAAAAAAAAAATTATTATTATTATTATTATTATTTTTTTTTTTTTAAATATTTTCCCACGATTTTCACTTCACGGGGGTCTTATTAATATTTTCATTACAAAACATTTTTTTTTTTCGTTTAAAATATTCGCGGGTGTTTACTTTTAATACTAAAAAAAAATTAAATTTAAATTTTGGCGCGAAAATAATTTTTTTTTTTTTTTAAAAAAATTTCATTGATTGACGATTTTAATTATAAATATACTCACTGAGCCTCCCCCTCCCCACCTCGATAAAAAAAAATGGAATTTCGATCGGTGTTTTTTAACCGACGTCATCATCATCATCATCATCATCGTCATCAACATCATCATCATCGTCACCATCATCATCGCATC